TGGCAGTGTAGAAGGGGCTACTGTTTAAACCTCACAATCCTAGCCTTCACAAGTGTATCAATATCAGGTGTGCAGAGTCATCCAGTAGGCCAGGTTGGACCCTTTCTGGCCCACAGGCCGTATGTTTGCCGCCCTGCATTGGGGCTTTACTATAGTATAGTATATAGGCAGTATAGTAGTAATCATATATGTGTGAAAAGGAATAAATCTGCCCATTTAGACAGATTGCAGCCACTACTATTTATAATTGTAATTTGGTCACATGCTATTGTGCCCAAGCAGGACCATTATACCATCCACTTCTATGGGAGCAGTCCCTGGTGTAAAATGAATGTGGGATGCTAATTGTCCTGGAGATACATTTTACACCAGGGAAGGCTCCTATAACTACTATGCTCGAAAAATATCTATCAAATATCCATCTGTCAAACCTATTCCCAAAGATGATACCCATAACATTCAAATGAAAGTATTATTTTTTGCATAATATTATAAGTAATTATATAAGTTAGAGTCCAATCAAAGTCATGTCAAAAATAAATGCAAAGTCAGAGTGTGCTTTACTCTTGCTTATATTGCCTTGTATTCATTTTGTGGAGTTTTACAAATGTAGCAACACACAATTAATGTTGGCCTTTTAATCTTTTATTTACAAAACACACAGTATATTATCTTGCCTGTAAAATTGGATTTCATCTGCAAATATGCAGAAAGTCATTTGCAAACTGTCACTGACACCCTTCAAAATATTTTTACTGCAAGTAATAACTTTAGATATTGACTCTGCTCTATCTGCATGATGATTCCATGACAGTAGTCAGTTTGTTTGCCTTGTTGCCTGAGACCATGACAAAAATAACGATGTAAACACCCTTGCAGTAGATGCCAAGCGTGAAACGGAGAGCCCATAGAGATGCCCTAGTTGATGATGTGATACAGCTTGCTCTTTCTGTGTGTAGGTGTATGTTAATTGACAGCATACTGAGGGATGTATTGCTGTCCACAACAGCTGGCTGGTGGGGACGGATAAAGTACAATCATAGTAAGCTCTATCAGGAGTTGGTGTTTACTTTGTGTGTGTATGTGTGTGTGTGTGGGTGTGTAGCTGACATCATCCAGGAGCATGTGGGTGGGATGGGGGTTGCTGTGCAGAAACTTGTGCACGAGGAGGAGAGTAGGCCAGACTTGAATTGGATCCAATCGATAGCACAGACAGGACAAGATGGCTAAGGAAGAATTATGGTGTTCAGGGGCAGGAGATTTGCCAGAACTTAATTTGTTATCAATGAGGATTCACTGCGGAGCATAGAAAGCATTGCTGTAGATGATGCTGGGAGTTTCACAGAGGGCAGATTATCTCTATGTTTGATGATGATGAGCAAGAAGAATTGATGTTTTCAAACTTGTTTGAGTTTTTATTACATTTTAATGTATTGTGGCAGACTTTAAGGTCATTGTCACATTTAAGGCAAACAAGTAAGACCGATATTCGGGGAATGTTCACAGCAGCTCAGCCTTTAACCTTTTCACTCTATTGGCCCCTCTCTTTTCCTCTCTCTCACACACACACACACGCACACATACACACACACTTACATTACAGTATACCCAATGGCACTTGTTGCTACAAAACAAGTCAGAGAAGTTCAGAACATCTTGTTAAACAGATTTTAATATGCTCAAAATGAACAGATAATCTCTGTTGTATCTAGAGACAAAGAAGAGGTTAGATATGATAAAATGAAAGCATGAACGAGGAAAGAGAATATAGGTCGTCCCAAAGAACAAACTTCCATTTGTTACATGTGACATATTGAGTCAATTCCACATTATCCATGCACTTTGGCTCTCTTAACCCACAGTGGGGTCCTCATTTCCCAGGGGTCTTCTTAAGCCCCCTCCAGAAGAGCATGTTTTGCTTTTTTGACAAGCTAAGAAAATAAAAGAAACCACTAGCTGATCCTAAATAATGACACAATAATCTCTTTCTCAAGGACTGGAGATCAAAATGGGCCCTCTAATGGGTCCAGTCTTAGCAGGCAGAAAAAAATGGCACGGCACGTCATTCAGAAAACACCCATATTTTCAGTTTTCACACTGATGGTTGAAAAATACAAGCATCTTCTGCTTACTTTGACAGCTATTTTATTTAAATACATTAAACACACTTAAAAACTAGAGGTTACAATGAGACTTTTCATTGAGTAAAATTAGGCAGTAGAGAAAATGACAGAGATTGCACCAGGCAAATTAAACAGGAGCTTCCTGCAGCTTACATCCCTCACACTGTTATTTGATTATCTGGCATCTTTATGAGGGAGGGAGGAAGTATTGTTTGCCCCAGTGTGCATGATGCATCGTGCTCAATTCATAATGAATGACCCAACATTCAATTAAAAACACTCTATTCATCAATAGCTATGATTTAAACTTGTTAGTATAGTCCTGATGCCTCCGTCTGACTCTGTGCAATCCTGCCCTGACAGTCTCGATGTCTGGGATGCAGTCCGTTCACTTTGGTCTTTAATTGCCTCTAAGTTCGCCAGCCTCTTGGAGAGACATGACCGGCAGCTTTAAAAAGCATTTATTGAGCTGTAGGTGGGAGAAACAAGAAGGAAATGGAGAAGACCAACTGGGGGGGCTGTGTGAAAGTTGTGGGAACGTCTGCCAGAAGCAGCTTATAAAGCACAGTTTTATAAGCTGTTGTGTCACAAACATAAATTGTGACACTCTGAAGTGGCCTTTAGAGAGGGGAATAAATCATTGTCTCAGCAGACAGTGAAAGTGGATGTGCGTGTGCATACATGCAGAGAATAGCGATAGTAACCAAATGTTTACAGTTTGTAACCAAGCATAATTTATCTTGATGTGGAGTGAGGCGGAGAAGATTGAAAATGAGATTTCACTGAAACATACATTTAAAAAACCTTCAGTAACACCTAATTAATCCAAAATGTCGCCAGTGTTTTTGTGGTTTACATTGAACAAACTAATCATGACATGTTGCCAAGTCTTGATGAATTTTTAAGATTTCTACTTGTTATTGATTATTCATTTTGGGCAAGTAATGTAATGGGTATTTTGGCATTTAATCTCTGTCGCTTGGAGAATATGTGCTTTAAAAATGTAATGCACGCTGCTGCTCAAGCGTAGCAACGGACTCCATTACAGTCGTTTTAATTAAAGGATGCGTTCAGATTGCAATGACGGCATTTTAATCTTTAAGACATATTGATGTACCGTGGATCAGGGCCAAGTAGGGATATTTTAATGATTGTCTTGCAAGTATTTTATGGCACTAAATGTTACATAATGTTGATTGCTCAGTATCAATATAAAGATCTACTTAAATGATTCCAAAAACTATAAAAGTCAATTTAATTTCAATAACTTAACTTAATAACTGCTGTTATGGCAGTGCTCATACAGTTTAAAGATACTGCATCAGTCCTCACAAAGCCTCGCTTGTGGAAATAACTTTATCTTGCATAAATGTTCATGGCCACAAAGCCTCAAATACAAATATTTTCTGATATTTCTCGTGACAGATTGTTCGTGGGAACTCTATCAGCGATGCAGTAGGTCTATAGTGTACCATTTGTGGTAAGCAAAGTATGTCATATTTTAAGACTCAGAGGCATGGTTGAACCCAAACATGTGTACCACAGGAATCCGAAAACACCAGAGAACAAGTCATGGGAATCTCTGAGAGGTGGTTAGTGGAAATATTTGCAGAGTTAAAGCAATTATGGATGGTGCGTGAACTTTATTTCAGGTTCACAGACTGACAGGTCTAAAAGTGTATTTGTGATGTAAAGTAAGGTTATAGCACCATTAACTGTGTGCCACATAAGGAGAAGAGACAGGTCACACTGATATCAGACCTATTATAGGAGTACAGCACATTGATAAGCTTGTGTGGATATTAACCTCACAGTATAATTTGCAGCAGCCACTCATATTTCTATTGCTGCACAGTTTTTGTTTGACTCCAGGGGATGATTTAATGATATCCTGATATGCAGGGCTATAATTCATGATAAACTCCATTCAGTATTGTTGCACCACCCGTACCTCCTAGGCGTAATTTTCTTTTCATATAATTGTCATGTTCTCGAGCTTGTTATAAGAGGAGGAAATTGTTGGTGGTACGGGGATAGCATCTTGTGGGGTAGAATTTGCTTTCATATGCTCTTGCTATTGTACTCTTGTACAAAGATGAACAGTATTTTTTTTTTTAAATTTGTGATACTATTGATGGTAAATTACAGAGAGAGGCTCACTTTCCAAATAATGTGCATCATTTTGGCATTTTATTTCTCTTGCAGAATAATAACTGTCATGAACACATGATTCAGTTTTCAGTTCTAATGAAATTATAGGCCGTGTTTGTTTACAAACTATTGACATTTCAGTGGACTACAGTATTTGTAGCATATTGCACAACAAACTTGAACATAGTGTTCCTTGCACTACAGTATGATCTCTCAATTTGATCACTGAAGTTTGACGTGAGCCTGAAGAGGTCTGCCTTTGTGTTACTAATAATATTATTGTCACTGTCGCAGTTTTGTCTCAGACGTAATGTGCAGTAGTTTCTCTTTTCCATGTCTAAATCACTATATCACTGTCAGTCGGTCTTTAAATACTTTAAAGGTTAAAACGTAAACACTCTACCGTGAGAGATGATATCTGGAAGTTGACTGACACATTTAGATACTATTAAAAATGAGCATGCACATGTGGAAAATGTATCATCCATGTTGCCACAGTTATACAGTGTAACCTCACAGGTTGTTTGAGTGTAATACTAGCTGAAAGACAAACTGCACGTTATATATTTTTTTGCATTATTTCATATTATAAACATTTACTGATGTGGAAGTACATGAAATGTTAAAAAACAAAAGGAAAACATGCTACATTTTTTTTTTTCAAATATTCAATAAATATAATTTAATACATGTTTAATGTGATATTTACACTGTTTGGTGCCTTAATGTAGATGAACAAAAATGAAATGCATACATAAAAATCGTACTTATAAACCTCTTCTGTCCCTTTTACAAAGAATCTTTTTAAAAGACCTCCTGAAGTCGTTATTGAATATAGTGTATATAACAGGATTTAGTGAGCTGTTGCAGTAACCAAACCAGAAAAACATTTTGAACAACGTCTCAGGGACATAGCAGATGTCACACACAGCAGTGAGTGTGTATGTGAAGAAAAAGGGGAACCAGCAGAGGACAAACACTCCCATGACCACAGCCAGGACAAAGGTGAAGCGCCTCTCTCTGTACTGCCTCCCTTTCCACTTTTTCGTTCTCACGCAGGGCTGCGCCTCTGGCTTTGGAGAGGACTCTCCAGGCTTCACCTGAGCCACTTTGGTTGTTCTCATGCCCCTCTTCTTCTTCAGGGAACATAGGATGGTGTCAGTCCCATCAGACGAGGAGGGTTCTTCTTCCACGTCTAGCCCGTTCATCTCTCTGCCTTCTCCCTCTTCCACCTCCCTCCCTTCTGTGTCCTTTCTCTCCAGGGGGTCAATACCACACTTTGCGTCTTCTGGGCTGCCATATTCTTTCTGCCTCTCACCTGGCAGGGCTCTTGTTCTTTTCTTGGCAATCTGGTATATTCTTATATACACCATAATCATGATGACACAGGGTGCAAAGAAAGAGGCAATGCTGGAGAATATGATGTACCATTTCTCCTCATTAATTTTACATTCAGGGCTGTCCACTTTACCCTCATCCTTTTTCATCGTGATGAGCGGAGGGAAAGAAATGATGGCCGCCAGCACCCAAACTATCAAGACAATGCATTTAATCCTGCGCGGTGTCCTCCTCAGGTTGTACTCAATGGCTTGAGTGACGGACCAGTATCTGTCCAGGCTGATGGCACACAGATGAACGATTGACGAGGTGCAGAAGAGCACATCCAAAGCCAGGTAGATCTCACACCACACTTTACCAAAGTACCAGTAGCCCATCAGTTCATTCGCTAAGGAGAATGGCATCACTAAGGTGGCAACCAGGATGTCTGCACATGCCAGAGAGACTAAAAACAAGTTCTGAGGTGCTCTCAGGGCTCGGCTCGTGATGACAGCAATTACTACCATGACATTGCCAAACACAGTCAGCAGGATAAGGATACCCACCAGGATCGTTAAAGGCACGGAGGTCTGCACAGTGAAAGGGTGCCTGCCAGGCAAAGTCTCATTTCCGCTGGTGAAGTTAAGACAACCCATCAGGATGAGCTGTGGTGTCGAAACAGTGCTCTTTTAAGAGGTTCGGAAGCTGTGCAGCCAGCAGTCTATTAATATCATCCTTTCAAGAGCACAGCATCAGAGAATTGAGTCTCTTCGTTTCGTTCATGACCTTTTTTTTTTTTTTTTTGTTTTGAAAGAAATCTGTGCTTCTTTCCTCTTTGTCAGTGGGGAAAAACACCAACAGAGAAAAATTAAGAGCAATGTTCTTCTATATTAAAAAGACAAAACAATGTGAGAGGCAAAAAGGGAACTTAATTTATTCCCAGTTTCCCCACATCAGATCATTTAAAAAAATTAGATCTATCCTTACAAAATACTTCATTCACTAACCTTTTGGGATAAAAATTTGCAGATAAGTCCCTTGGAAGACACTTCATAAAACAGATTTACATTGCAGATAGTGCTGGCTCAGGCAGACCTTGTCATCTGTTGTGGCTGTAGTGGAGAGAACATCTTTTTATATGGGCTTGATCTGACGTAGAGGATCTGTGACGCTGGCTCCACTTCAGTGAGATTGGGAAGGGGCGGAGCTCATCTGCTGCTGGAGAATTAAAAGCAACTTGGTGTTGCTCCCAGACCCTGAAACTATTGGCTGATGATGACATTAACAATATTTTTTGATATATAGAGGCAATATCTGCAGTTTATTAAATTACAGTGGATTAAGAGTACACTCTTTGTGGTTCTGCAGTTGTACTTTATGAAGAAAATGTTCAGATATATCCTGAGAGAAAAATAGCTTGAAATAATACCTGAGTCTGTAGAGAGGATCTGAGCCAATTGCTGAAGAGATCAGTTACTAGAAGTGCAAGAGTAAGAGCAGTTCATTCACAGGAGATTAAAATTTCTGCTGGACTAAATTTTCTTTCCAGATAACAAAGTAGAATAAGTCACAGTGAATGTGCTGAGACATTAGATAAAGAAATGCTATCTGTATTTTTTATGTTTTCTTTAAATTCTGGTAAACTGCTATGCAACAAAATGCTGCTGCATGACATCTCCAAGCAAGATTACACTTATTATTCACAATACCGTATGTGTGCCAGATTATAGGATACACTGGTGTCAAGAGTTTTTGCTGGGGTGACTGTGATGCTTGTGACAATGTAGTTTTTATTTCTGGAGCACTCCAACTACAGATTTCCATTGCATTGTTTTACCATCTACCACAAAGTAATTTAAAGCACGCCGACCAGCATGCATTGCTAGTTATCTACTTCAAGATTGTTATATGATTCTGTTTATAACTCAGCACACACCTTTTACAATAATAAATTACTGATAGTAATTTATTATGAGTAATAATTTGGTTTCCATAAGGAGATATATTTGAGTCTTAGTGCTCTGAGGCATCTCTGTGCTACATCCTAGTCATCTGATGTCCATACTAAAGTACAACGTCTAGTATGTGTTGTTTTAGCACAGCTTTGCTACACATATATTGTTTGAGGAGAGAGGCACACCTATGATTTATCTAGCAGGGTGATATGACAATGGTTGCCAACCTTTTTTTGCACGTGACTATGTCTTGTAAATGCAGATCATGAGTTGTGGGCCTTCTAACACAATTCCCCCCCTCAGACTGTGAGGCAGTATTATTTTAAGAAAATGGCAATTATCAGAGCAAGCTATTGGTTTCTCGGTCCAGTAATGATCCCATGACCCCTTAGATTCATCGTGCAACCTCTTGGGATGTGCTGGTCCCCAGTTTGGAAAATCCTGTGTGAAATCAGGATTGAGGTCAAAAAGTAGTATTTGTCTTAAAATAAAAACACATTATTATTGAAACTTTTTTTTTAAATCACATACCAACCATAAGTCACATGGTATGGCTTTAGTCGCAGGAGACATTGTACTTGCATGTTAATTATATTATTTCCAGTATGAGATTAAAAAAAAAAAAAAAATAGTGGCCTTGTTTTTCTGAATTAACGAAATTATTACGTCAGAATTCTGAGAATAGTTTCTATGAAAAAAAAGCCTGCTCTTGTTTGCCCAATTAACGACACAATGATCTTGTCAGTTCAGAAAAACAAAATAATGTTTGTTGTAGTAAAATGATCAGCAGACTGAAGATACTGTTACGAGTACTGCCGCTGGGGGCGCTAAGGAGCCGTTCTGCTTTGTGCTTGAGCTGATCTTCCCTGTTATCGCGAGATTTCTTTTCGCGAACTTCCGGTTGGCTATTTGTGTACGAGAGACGGGAACGCACACTGTTGTTCTTTTCACCTTTCGGTTTGGCAAATCGTCGACTTGAGATTTGAATGCTTGCGGTATTTATCGGTCAAGAACACTTATACTAAGGTAAGATAACCCATGTTTTATTTGTGTATGCTTGCCCATCGGCCTCTTGTTGCTAGCATTAGCCGTCGTACGTCAAATATACGTCGACGAAAGAGGGCCGAGGGATATAGCTAACCGTTTTAGCGTTAAGCTAACGGGAATGTTGTGACATATCATGTTTTTCCTTTAACGTAAGATTTTGAGTAGACCCAGGCTACACTTACTCGCATCAAATACTCTTCATACGAGTATTTTGTGAAATTAGATCATTGTAATTCAAAGATAGCTCGCTAACTGAATATGTTTACCTTTAGTTTGTCATGCTAATACAGCTAGCCAACGTTTCTAGAATACGGTGTTCTTTTTGTCAACACAGATGTCGGACGACTTGGTGAAACAGTTGAGCAGCTATAAAGCTCAGCTACAGCAAGTAGAAGTTGCCTTATCTACCGACCCAGATAATGAAGACCTCCTCAAACTTCAGAAAGACTTACAGGTTTGTGTGTGACTGCGTGAATGTGATAAGGAGCCTATTTGTCATTGCTGGATTGGTAAGAAAGTACAAACTGTAATAACTTCCCTTTTATAAGCAGTTGAATACTTAATCGTTAGAATTAATTACTAGTGATTACACATTGTTTACAAATAGATACCACTGATTTATAGCATTAAATTGTTTTACTCTGAAAGCTATCAGTCTGAAGTCCACTCTTAAGTTTTTGAGATGTGTATAATTTAATCAACATTAATGTATTTAGGTTTGCTTACAAAAATGTTCCTACTATGAGTTCATTTGCCAGGAATAATCAAATCATTGGTCTGTCTTTGCTTCCATAGATTTGCAGGATAACTTTATATTGTGAAATGTATTTTTTTTTCATTTATTTATTTATTTATTTTTTAATTTTATGAACATGCATCCTTATTTGCAGGCAAATCAGATTTTTTTTTAAAGTACCATTATTTATTGGGTGATAAAGTCAAATTAGTATCACTATGATGTAGTACAAGGATTTTCAAACTTATCTGTCTAAATTGCAAATCCAGAATTGCGAAGTATAGCCTATTACAGGTGCTCTCCACTGTGCTTTATAGAAGGAAGAACTTTAACATGTTTGGCCAATGACCTCACTGAAAATGCCCCATTCCCTTCTCTTACTATCAATACTTTTGCTAACTGCATTTTTCCTGGGGCCAACTTTGCCTACGCTTGAATGTCTGATTACGTTTCTTCTACAGGAAGTCATCGATTTGACAAAAGACCTCCTGACCTCACAGCCCACTGAAAGTGCTTCCAGTACCAATGGCGCAGACACAGTGCCCCTGAAGCATGCCTGGAAAGTGGGGGACAACTGTATGGCTGTGTGGAATCAGGATGGACAGTGAGTATCACCAACCTCTTCTCATGAAAACATTACGTGCCACTGCATGCCCTGTAGCATTACAGTGTGAGTTCTTTATCTGCATTAGAGAAGTGTTCCTATGGATAAGTTCTGTCCATCCATTTTATTTGTTTTTCATTGGTCTTTTTGTTGGATGTCGCTTTGGACAAAAGTATCTCACTGATTGTTCTAAGATAATGAGTCCACTTTGTCTCTTAAGATGAAGCAGTTTTTTTTTTCCTTTTTACTTTTGCACAGTAAAACAGGATTTCACCCACTGATTAATCCAACTAAACCAGATTATCCACATGGCAAGCCTTCATTTTTACTTTTTTGTTTCTGTGTTGACATTATTTCACAGTTGCTGATAATTCAGGAGTTGTCTGTGAGGTGTTAATATATTGTCAGCCTGTATAGGAGTAGATAACAACTTATCTTAGAATATTAATAAGTTGCTCTTAAAACAACTCAACTTTCCAGAAATATTGCTAGAAAAACCTACAAGGAACAACATTATTTAAAAGAACCATGACTTAATATACATGACATCACATACTGTTTATTTAGCTGCTGCTTTCATCCAAAGTGACTGGGAATAATGTGTGAATATTATGTGTTTGCTTACCAACGACAGCAGATTAAGACAAGCAGCTGTAATTTTAGTTTCATGCATGTCTGACAAAAGTCAGTTTGTGGGAAATGTATATTCTTGAGGTATTTGCTACTATAGGAAATGCTCCAAGAATATCTTAAACTCACTCACATATTCACTTATCATTAAGAATGATATATTGGTGTAAGTGTTGCTTATGAAGTAGAGCTTGAGTCTTTGGCTCATACTCACCTGCTTACAGACGTGATTCTTTGGCAGGGTGTATGAGGCTGAGATTGAGGAGATAGACCGGGAGAACGGCACTGCAGCAGTTACCTTTGCTGGGTACGGGAATGCTGAAGTGATTCCTCTGCAGAACCTCAGACCAGCTGAGGAGGGGAAACGCTCTGACGAGGACGGTCTAAAGCCAAAATCAAGGTATGAACAGAAACTCGCTTAATGTGCATACACATAAACCTTTGCTTACATCCTGCTTCTGAACTTTTTAAGGAAAATACTGGAATTCACATTACCCTGTGCAAGTGTCACTTTTTCTCTTTCTTTTTTTTTTTTGTGGTTCACTGATCAAGCCAGACTGACCTGCCTGTCAGTTCTGTTTACAAATAAATAAAATATAAATCCAGAAGAAGAAAAAAATCAGTTGAATAACTGACATCTTGCCACAATAAAATCTTCAGACCATCAGAGCATGTCTGTGCACTTGTCTTCAACTCCAAACCCTGCAAGGGGGTTTAAAAGTCATGTTTTTTATTTTAACAGTCCCCAAAATTGCACCATTATCATAGCTGGGAACTGTAAAAACAGAAACTATCATCAGATTTTCTTATTTCCGACAGCCCTACAAAACAGTGTAGCCAAATCTGAGCTTAACATAGTGACATTCCATCAAAATCAATTTACTCTACATGTCTTATTTAAAAATTTTGCCAAAAACTAGCTATTTGAAAAAAAAAACCAAAACAAAAAAAACCCATTAAATTCTGCGCTCCTCAGTGCAACTGGGAAGCCATAAATGTCCAGCTGAGGCCAACAGTCAAGTCACAAAAATTCAGTTAAATTTCGACTGAACTGCAGGTTTGTTTACACAGAGGACAGGCCAACTGAGGTTGTAAGTAGAGGCTGTACAAATGTCAAACAAAAGTAAATGTGAACTGCAAATGTAGCAAAATAAAACTTGGAAATGTGGCGCGGTGTTGTGTCAAGTGTACATACATAATGAAAAGAATAGCTCGGGAAAATGTCCAGCCCCCTAGCTCTCTGAAAATGTGACCCTCTGAACAATATGTGAATAGCCCTCATCTATTTAATTGTATGCAGCGCCCTCTTTTAAATTATATGAAACTGCCACCAATGAGGGAAGTAGTATTCAGTAAACACTCTACTGTGCTGTCCTCATATTGACCTGTAATAACATTGGTGATTTTGGTGTTAGCAAAATCCCTATAATGTATTTTGTGTAAATATCAGATTCAGACACAAGTTAAAAAAATCAGTTTTTTTTTTTTGTTTTTGTCTTTTTTTTTTGATCAATCAGTCCTTGATGTCTAGATGAAGGGGAACACTGCCGGTCATGAACTGTGCAGCCACCTTGAAATTAGTTTTCTCTTCAACTATCCACCAACAATTCTGTTTTTCAAACTTTGAGTTTACATTAAGTGATGCAGTTTGAGAATTAAGCAAACACCTGTGACAACTAGCTCTGTTAGTTCTTACTGGTTGGAAATTACATCAGCGCCCTGGATCTGAAATATATGCCTAACTGCATTTTTGTGTCTCTAGTTGACTGATTTCAAAATTAATACCGTGTGTCATCAAAGACTGATGATTTTTATGTACTGATGAGTGAAGGAATTAGTCCCCATGTGTGACTGTATGTTTAACTCATTAATGTTTGTATTTCATACATGTTAGGTTCATGATTCTTTACATCATGGTCAGGTTTTAAATGTTTCTCTCCCCTGTCTTTTCTAGGAAAGAGCAGATAGCAGAGCAGAGTGAGTATAAGAAGAAGAAGGCACAGAAGAAGGTGCAGAGGATGAAGGAATTGGAGCAAGAGAGGGAGGAACAGAAGTCAAAGTGGCAACAGTTCAACAACAAAGCCTACTCAAAGAACAAGAAAGGACAGGTATTTTTTTCCTTTTCCTTTTTTTTTTTAAAGAGCCCTGGATCTTTTTTGGAGAGTGCTGGGAAGCCCACAGTGCATTGAGCATAGATGATTTATCCCATAGATGTCTCCTTCCTTTTTGCTTTCTAGCATCAAAATTGAGTACAACAGGTAAAAAGAGTCAGAAAGGAGAACTAAAGTGTGAATTCACACAGTTGCATGAATCTCTTAAAATCAATATGATGTGAAGCCCACCCACTAGCTCATCTACCCAGTGCCCTTCACACTGCAGTGCGGTACATGACTGAAGGGCTAGGTAACTTGAAACTAGTTGCACACTGTCCATGAATTGCTGTAGGAAGATTGTGTGTGTAGTGTGTATATACATATAGTAGATGTTCTCCTATAATCCATTGTTCTATGTTTTGAATCATTAATGACGGCATTTCCTTCCTTGTTTTGTTTTCCAGGTAAAGAGGAGCATATTTGCGTCTCCAGAAAGCGTCAATGGGAAGGTGGGAGTGGGAACATGTGGTATTGCAGACAAGCCAATGACCCAGTACCATGACACATCAAAATACAACGTCAGACATCTAATGCCACAATGACCTGATATATTCTGTATATATTAATCCACTGTATACTAGCTGTATCAGTGTTTTCCATTGTGTTTATACATGATTTCTGTTTTCCAAGTAAAGAAAGCTTTGAAAGGATTTGCTTGCACACCATTGTTTGAAATATTGATGTAGTTTTCTTATATATTATGTAGGTACAAGTACAACAACAAAAAAAATCCAAATAGGGGGGATTTTTCCCTGCACTGGATCAAGGTCACCTGTTATGTAAGAACAGGAAGTGGTGTTGTAGAGAAGCCGTACAGTTTACTGTCTGTGTCCAGATTCCACTGATGCCAAATGCCTGCTAAGTTGAGAATAAATATACACCAGCAGATTTGGTTTGTAAATTTAAATCTTGGTTTTAAACACTGACCCGTTGTGGGCGGGGGAGTCTGACATCAGTGATGGTGTTGATTTGACATGGCTGAATTTCCATTTTAATTTCTGTGTATATAACAGTGAAATAAACATTGTTTTGTTTTCAGTTTTTTAAATAATTGCTTCCACCTCATTTTGACTGTTTTGACATTACATTTTCATTGTGGCTCTGTCAGGTCCTGTAGGTGGCAGTAAAGACTTGTACCATTATTAATAAAATCGAGCAGCATGCTGCAACTGTTGATACAACCGTTTTCACAAAAGTCACATCAGTTTTTTTGTTTGTTTTACACCTCCTGAACTAACAAAATCCAACATAAGTGTTAACTACAGAGTTGAATGCGTCATTTGTGATACCTGTCAGTCTAATACAAGACACCCAAGTTGATTCTTTCAATGTTAATGGTAGGCTTACTCAAAAAAAAAAAAAAAAGATGAAATTGATTGATGTCTGGGTGGTAGAGGTTTATTAAGATTCCAGGGACAGTTTTCAGGAACTGTAATAAAGTACTAGCAGGGGACCAGCAGCACGTTTTGCAAAAAAGTCACCTTGGATGGCTGATTAAGCACAAGAGAAAACATTCTGGGGTGTGCTTTGACGTACGTCCTTAACAAAAGTCTTTTTCATAGTGCATTTTATAGATTCCCAAACAGGTTGGGGTGGGGGAGAAAAGACCTGTAACAAGGAACTTTGTGCAAGAGTCATATATATACCCATGTTAAGACACAATTTGGTGGTGATCTCCTTAGGACTTGGACCAGAAAAATGCAGATAAATGGTCATATTAAAATGTCTTATTTGGTTTCATGGATTCTAACAGGTCAGCAGTGCAATTCTCAGTGTCAAATATACATTGAATATTAACGGGAAGTCTCCAAATTTCACGGAATTGAACTTGTTCTTTTCCTGCTACAATACAAAAAATAATACAGTATTAAACATTTAAGTATAAACCAAAATTAGTATTCTGTAGTGTTTATGTTGTTCATGCTACAGACATTTTTTTAAGACTTGTCAATCCAAAGCACATTACAACATGATTAGACAAGCTACATTCAATTCACATGCACCATAGCTTTTTTTTTTTTTTTAATCAATTACAATCATTTTAACTGCTGAATATTAAAACTGATACCACTACTGGAGCGAAGTGGAAAACTAGCAAAACTGCAATTTGGTGTTGGACGGACAGAATAGTATGCTAAACACAGCCAACATCAAAGATAGGATAAAAGTAGACGCTTTATTGCTTTCAGCCTTGTGCTTGGACAAGTGCGGGATAGCTTATTACTGTCTAAATAAAACTGAATTTGAGCACAGTGTGAAAGAGAAGTGTCATTCTTTCAACAAAACATGAAATGCATTAAACCTTCAGCACTGCATATGCTTCTGTGGGGGTTAAATTTGTGTCAAGTAATTTGTTAAATGTTAAAAAGAAAATATTTTAAAAAATGTTTTTCATTCAAGCATGACCAAGACCTAGCTACAGTAAAATTAAATATACCAAAAATAAATACTATAATCATATGCAAATAAATTAGAATAACGAGGGTGGACTACACCACCTGTTTGGATATGACTATTTCAGTCAAGAGAAGGGACGCCACACGGATCAGTGATGGTCGTGGGTCCTGAAGCAAAAGGTTATAGAAGTGTAATAAACATTTTGGAATGCAGACATTGTAGCCCTTGCCACTGGCTTGTACACTGACAAGAAGTGTCGTCTGGATATGTTATCCAAAGAAAAGGGGCAATGTTTTTACAAGGCAAATGGAGCAAGCGGTCCCAATGGTGAGCTTCTAGCTGGTATTGGGTTTCTAGTGTTTTTGCTGGTTTCAGAGGATCAACTTGACTAAAGGTAGTTTCCCCTTCAGTGTTGGACACTGCTGCGATCGTGGGTCCTCTGCAGGGTCAGTATTGAGTGCAGGTACTTTATGGTTGATTCTAGCTGGTAATGGGTTAAGGGACATTCAGGTGATTGGTTAAGTCAACTCTTACAATGAGGAAACTGTATATTGCCAGGAGTTAAATTTGAGGCTGTTGTGTAAAATGTTTCAGACTGATGTAGAGGAGCCCCTTGGCTTTTTGGAAGGAGACATTTCTAGACAACTTTTAGGCTGAGTTGAACTTAAGGCTGGTTCTCAGGGCAGAGCAGATGTTTCATTTGTCAGGTAAAGGTGGGATCGAGGCTGGTTGTTCTTCTGGAGACAGTTAACCTAAACTGCAAAGGGAGAATGGAGCTGTAGGCTGGTACTTTGAAAGGTGAAAGCCATAAAAGACTGCAGCTGGAGTTAAAGTATAGGCTGGTGCTTTTTAAGCAGAGAAGGCCAGTTTTAGACTGCATGTGGAGTAGCCCTCGTCGCTGGCTGAGCTCTGCCGGCTGCTGTGGTCGTCCAGGTCACTTGCACCACTGGTGCTTACACTGTCCATTTCTCCATGGGAGAATTCAGTGCTTTCCACATCAACTTCGATCTCTTCTGCTCAAAAACAAAACACAAATAATTACAGATTAATCATCTGAATCATGCAGGTCGAAATGTTTTAAATTGTGCTTGACAAACCCTAATGGTACTACAAAGTTTAACCATTGATAAAGGCTCAGATTCGGACACTGACCTCTGTCAGACTCTGAGCGGTCAGAGTCCATACGGGAGCCCAGGCTGTCCATACGGACCCTCTCCCTATCTCCATGAGTTTGCAGCTGGGCTAGCTGCCTCTGCAGGTGCCTCTGCTCCCTCTCTAAGGTCTCCAACTGGTGCAGACTCCTCCGGTCCGCCTCTTCAAGTTTCTGAATGACAGGGAAATGCAGAGCAGTTAATTAAATTGTCGTTATGTAGGAAGATAATCAAGACAACCAGTGTGTGTGGATCCAGTGTGTCACATTTACTATTTATGTGAATTATTTAGCATCAAATCACGCAATTATGACAGCACCTCTCTAGATGTTGCTCATGATTAACATACTTATATGCACGAGGGGATGGTGAACTTGTCTCGTGTGCAGTGATGTGATGTTAATATGTAGTTGTTGCTGCCGTCAAATGTGACGCCCCCTGTGCCTTCTAATAAAATATTCAACACATAAGGACAGCACGTTGCTGGATGGATTCTAGAGGGATTGCTGGTGTCACTGTGTGAGGTGGATATAAGTGAAAGATGACAGAGTAATTGCTTTATGGGTTTTGGTATACAAATGGATGCAAAGGTCATCACATTCTGTGTTTGGCAGAAACATTAATTCTTTGCCTTCTTAGGTCTAATTTATTTATTTAAACTTCCATGGCTTGAACACTGCCTTTAGTGCATGTGTCATGTTCAATAGTCAGTTTAAAGCCTGTACTTGAAACAACAAGCACAAACAGCTCACTCAGAGTCACACAGAGTATGTCAGGTTAAGCTAACAAAGTCCTGAAGATACACTTTGAACCTCATAATTCAGTCACTTCGCAGCAATAATCATATCTGATCATGCCATAAATAAAAAACTGATTCACACTATGGTGGGAGCATAGTAATAAGTACTAAGAGTTTATATGCAAGCCAGTTGTTGAACAAGATTCGCTGCTGGTGGGAAAAACAACTGATATGGCTCCTGCACAGCTACTTACACAAGTTGCAGAGATGGCTGACAAATAGAGATGATATTTGTTAAATGAAAACTGATTTTGGATATTTCACAACTTAAAAAAAAGAAGACAGTTTTTCACAGCGACGCATGCTGTATTATATCAGTTGCCATGTATGGTTCATTTCCTCTAATGTCCCCCATGTTGATTCTCCAAATTACTTTTTATACAAGAGATATTTTCATGAAGGCACAGGTTGGTGTTTGAAGAGGCTTGTGTATTTTGCACGATCATAAATGCGGTAAAACAACAGTTTTTTTTAATGGAGTTTGGTACAGTGATGCAGGTGAGAGCAGCACTTATTCATGCTTTTCCTGTCGCACAACACAGGGTGTTTTGGCTTCCTGCAGCCCTGAGCTTCATGCTGCCTGCACCTGCTCCACCCTTTTACTCTCCTACACAACCTGTGGTTCCAAAAATACAACACAGCAGCATTCAGAAGCCACGTTTCCTGCCCTTTAAACAGGCAAGTCCAAAGTCAACAGCTGACATCATACAGTAGGTACTTTATCCATTACCCCCCACTGTAATAAACTCCCACAGACTGTTGCCAGGATTGCTTTCATATTGCAGCCTTCAGTCATCCCTCAACTGCTTCCCACTACTGGAGCCTGCACAGAATGGGCTTAAGGAAATCCAATATATCCCCTGAAAAAATCTCATCTGAAGTAGACTGCAGCCATCAGGGGAGCCAACACGTTTAGATGCTTTAATGCCACAGCATTATTTGTACAGTTCAGACACTCAGTGGCCCATTCAGGCCGACATTTCAAACAACCAGGACAGATCTGGTGCTCTCTACAGACTAATAGTCAGTGGTGAATGACACATGACCTAATCAAAGACTCAACAAGACTAAAAGTCCCTCATGGGGCAGTCCTGATAACAGCCAAAGGAGCACTGGTTAAAAGGAAAAGAGAAACTGAAATAACCAAGCACTTTGTATCATAATGTTGTGTCCAAAGTGCAGTTCATCTAATGGCTCTGAGGAAAGTGATTGCAGGGAAGTACCTGGGGAAAACTGCTAACTTCTCTGTTGCTGTTCACAGTCAATATCTCATTTAACCACCTCTAACTTTAAACTAGTACAGGTTTTCCATGAATTATGTGTGTGTTGTCCTTAGGCCTTATATTAGATGTGAGACTGAGCCAGAAAGTTCAACAAAGGAGTAGAAAATCCAGACCTTTCTCCTCTTTTTCGCGGTGTTAATGTCGTGTCAGCTGTGATTACAAAACAAATATTAGCGCTGTTGTGTCTTTGCTGAACTAAAACACTTAAGAATGTATAGAATTGCAAAGTTCAAATGGCTTGCTAAATATTGAGCTGCCTATGTAGACAGAGGAGCTGCACTGCGATCGCTTGCGCCACGTGGACGGTAAAGTATCACAGCAGCTTGTACCTCGAGAAGAAACCAGAGACTGTGCAACACCAAGAGTGAGAGCTAAGAGACCAAAATACAATTCTGTTCTAAAAATAAATAACAGGATCAGTCTATTGACTGGTAAGGCTTTTGTAAAACAACAGTATGGATTCACATTGGGTATCACATAGGTAGAGGTGCTAGGAGCCTTCCTTGTACATCAAAGTCATCCTCTGTAGTACTGTAGATCTATATTTGCAGTCAATATGACATCAATTG